GTGTGTGTGTGTGTGTGTGTGTGTGTGTGTGTGTGTGTGTGTGTGTGTGTGTGTGTGTGTGTGCGTGCGTGCGTGCGTGCGTGCGTGCGTGCGTGCGTGCGTGCGTGTGTGTGAACAGGCTAGAACAGAAGGGGGCTGTTGGCATGGGCCTACGATTTTGAGGGGGCCTACTTCCCCTGGTAGAGGCAAAGGGGGGGCCCTTTGGTAAAGAATATTAATATTGTAAAGAGAGTCGAGGGGGATCCTTTAGCACAAAATATTAATATTTTAAAGAAGATTCATAAACGATTAATACACATGTATATACTTATACATAAATCATATGATGCACTGATTACAATAACATACATTACAATATAATACATTACATTACATTATAATTACATGATTACAATGAAGCATAATGAGCAGTTTGGAATGGGGCCTACATTTCCTATCTAGCCTGGGCCTATACCAGCTTTGCACGGTCCTGTGTGTGAACGCGTGCGCGTGTATGAGGATGATTGAAACGTGTCTACCGCAGCATCCGGCGAAGCCCCCTCCACCCTCAGAAGCTATGGATTCTGTGCAATATAAAACACATTTGGTGACATTTCCTGATAAAATAGAAACTCGACTTGGACAATCGAGATACACGAGGCGAGTGGCACGAGATACACCAGGTGCATACTGGTGTTTCTAGATTGGCACCGAGTTAATTATAAATGTCAGAGTGGAGTTTCGTCATGGTTGGTGCAGCAATGAAGAAGTTGATATACTGCATACTGCGTTAGAATATATATATATATATAAATATATATATATGCTGTTGTTTTCAGTAGTAGCGAGAAGAAGAAGGAAGTTCATATACTGCATACTGCGTTATAATATATATATATATATATATGCGGTTGTTTGCAGTAGTAGCGAGAAGAAGAAAGAAGTTTATATACTGCATACTGCGTTATAATATATATATATATACTTGTGTGTTGCAGAGGAGTATTTGAACGGCATTTACGGAATGTAATTAGTTATGTTATTTACCATCATTTTACTATTGAAACGTTCCAAGTGCCTGTGGCTACGAAGGCCTGGCAGGACAGGTGTGACGTCACGCGTGAGTAACCGCCCACAGCATTTGTTATCGGAGCGCGGTGATTTCGCTTGTGTTAGCCCATGTAGCAATATTACTGCGTGATAATTATAACAGATTATTTTAAATACTAGATGAATATAAGTAATATATCTATGATATATTCAAGTGTGAATGGGTTATTTTGTGTGCGCGCGTGCGTGCGTGCGTGCGCGTGCGTACGTGCGTGTGCGCGTGCGTGCGTACGTGTGTGTGTGAATACTGAGGCGGCTGCTGCCGGGCGACCCGACCACGAAAAACACGTGTTCGTAAATTTTCGTTTTTCCTGTCTTGATCTTTCTCGTCGATTACTCGTCAATCGACAAAGGCTCGCTTATGACACAGCCAATCAGTGTCGACGTGCACCAGCGATCTCTCCGTACTTTATTGCATCTAGTGTCTACAAGTGTGCGTTCGTGTACGTGCGTGCACGCGCGCGTGTACGCGTGAGCTTGTGTGTATGTACGTTCGTGTGTGTGTGGAGGAGGAATTTGCAAGGATGCACACAAGCTTTTGCACGGGTATTGCTCTAATGACGAGTAAATTAAACGGTTATTGATAAATGCATAGAATCAATCACACGTCTTATTTATAGATAAGATGTATCTCTATGCTCAAGCGAAAAAAAATCGTTAAATTTCCAGCACCTAATCATGCAACAACACAAATTCTGAGTTTTTATGTAAAAATGGTATTTTGGATGTTTCTCAATTACCACAAAGAGTGAGGAAGCAAAACTTTCGCCACATGTTAAACACAGTATGAACCAAAAAAGTGAGTCATGATTTTTCTTAAAGTTTCATATTTACTGTAAACTGCTTAAAATTTAAGCAGTATGTTAGTTCGGCTCGAAAATTTATGCAAATAAATAACCATAACTCATAAAAGACAGCACTTAATAATATGAACAGCAATGTGGTACCATTAAAATGAGTGTAAAATTATTTCGAGTTGTAATGACAGAGAACTATCCATTTATAGATCGGCTTCTGTGGCAGAAATCAAAACGGAGAAATCAGCGTATTTTTACTTTTCACAATGATCGACCGCGCTTGTGTGCAAAATGGGTTAACGTATGTGAAACATCTACTTTTAGTACCTATACTGCGACATATCCATGACTACCTGAAACCACTAAATTGGTAAAATGTTCTGTGCACCTTGAAAAATTGTGAGAAATTACGAGGTTACCATCTCAATTTCATGCGAAACGCGCCAACGACGTGTACTAAGTGACGTCACTAAGCTACGTGTCAACAAACCCGGGTTATTTAACGCTTGAGGTGGAAATGCTATTTTCGGCAACGCGGCAATTTCAACTATCGCTGGCAGATGATAGCTATAGAAGGATTGGTGCTGAGGGGTACTGGCATAATGGCCGTGAAAAAGCTGGTTGTATCATGTCTCTGACGTCATCAGTGACGTCAGCCGCGGCTCACTACACGTGTACGCGGGCAATCAAAACGCTCTGAAAGTTCACATGCATCGTTATACGGAGAAATTACTTTATGGTTATATGTGCAGAGATGGCACCTAGTGCTAACGTTCGAATCGGGATGAAAAATGAAAAATCGATAAAATTTCGCATTAAAGTTCGAATGTATCCTTCCTTAGTGTATTTGCGTGAGCATGTGTGTATGCGAGAGTACGTGTGTCCATTCGTGCGCCATGCGTGTGTTCGTCAGTGCGCGTGTGTGCAGGTAGGTGCGTGTGCGTTCGTACGTGTGCAGATATTGCGTAAGTGCATGTGTGCGCGTATGATCGTGCATGCGTGCTTGCGTGGGCGCGCGTGTGTGCGTGTACGTTCGTGCGCGTGCAGGCATTTGTATGCATTTGTATCAAGAGTAGATAATAACACATAATAACAATAATAATGTGTTATTATCTACTCTTGATTTGTATGTGTATGTGTATGTGTACGTGTTTATACAATAGTGCGTATACGTACGTGCGTACGTGCGTATGTCCATCCGGGCATGTGTGTAGGCGCGTACGTGTGCGTTCGCGCACGTGCAGGCATGCGCGTAAGTGCATTGGGGCGTGCATGCTCGAGCGTGCGTGCGTGTGTGCGCGCGCGTGTGCACGCGTGCGTGCGCCCTGAGACACCCCGTACATCCGCCCCGTTCTTGGACGGCCGACCCGGCTACTTGCACACCCACACTCCCCTTCGGCGTGCCCCCGTCGCCGCCGGATTACCATATTCAGCCAGCGTGCACCATGCTTCTTTAACGACACATGGCCGCAGGGATCCTGCGGACTGGGTCACCACGTGAACAGCGGTGCCATCTTCCGGGGTACATAAATGCCTGACGCCTCGCCACCGACAGCAATTCGAGTGTGCAGGGCCGTTCCGGGTGCGAGGTATATTGCATTCATACCTGTGGATACACGAACAAGGTAAGCCGCTATTGTACTAATGCCGTGCGTGTTCGCGCGGCCTGACTGCGCGAAGTTCGTTTTCCAATCTGAATAGTTACAGAGTTATTGTCGCGGGGGCTTATCAGTTGTAATAACGCGCCATTCGATCGTAGATCGTTGATGGCCGCGATTTGGTTATTTTGTATAGTTGGAATCGGGCTAAGCGCTGATAGCGGTCGTGAGCTTGCACTTGATATGTAACGACTGAGTTATGACCTCTATGTGGTGATTGTGAATATCGACGTATGATACAGAGTGTGACCTGACCCTAGTTCTGTCGGCATATGACACTCTCGAATCTAATTCTGTCGGCATATGACACTCTCGAATCTAATTCTGTCGGCATATGACACTCTCGAATCTAATTCTGTCGGCATATGACGCTCTCGAATCTAATCTCTCGAAATATGTGTTCTCTCTCCAATCTAATTCTCTCGATATCTGTACCTCTCCAATTCTGTCGGCATAATGCCGATTTCAGCCGATTAAGGCAGATTTCGAGAGAATGGGATTGGAGAGAGAGATCATATTATGACGCTATCGAATCTAATTATGTCGGCATCTGTACCTCTGGAATCTAATTCTCTCGATATCTGTATATACCTCTCGAACGATTTTGTTTGGAGGAAAATCATAAATTCGCAATTACATATTATTTCACCGTCTACCGCACTAGTTTAGTATGGATTAACATACAATAATATGTTTGAGTAAAAATTGTATTAATGTACTTGCACAATATACGTTCGTAATGCTTTGAATTGCATGTATATTATTGCTAACTTACACATAATATACGAAGGAACGCGTCCACGCGATACGAGAAAAATAGGAAAACAGAGAAGCAAAGCGGGATACAGCTAGAGAGAG